TTGGTGCTTTTCCTGTTTGTCCAAGTGTGTTGAACGGGTGTGTTATTTTTTTTTACATGTCTGGTTTGACACATGGGTTAAAACACCTTTCTTGCTCACGCTGAGCTATGTTTTCACCTTCTGCAAAAAGACACAAGATCTTAAAGTATTACAACATACTTTAAAAAGAGTTTTTAAACATTTTAAACATGGATTAGAGGATATGTCTGCTAAAATGTCCTATATCTTTATGCATACTTACCAGCTGAATTTATGCAGTTTGTTCTCCATCCTTCAAAGACAGCAACCTGTGAAATCAGGTCATTTTGTGGTTAGGTTGATATGTAATTTGCTCTAATGAACCACACAATTAAAAGATAAAAGGGCAAGTGAATTAATTGTATGCTTGTTTGCTGCCACTAGACTTGGGTTAGCTAGGTTTAAGAAAAATACTCTTCCTTTATTTGACCTCACTAACAAACTACTGTGGTCTTTGACTATGAAAAAAACTAATAACTAGGTTCCACAGACTCCACTCATGGACTCCCAAACGTACACAAATGATGCCCCTTCAGGATGCCATTTTGGTTATTGACCTAGTGCAGGGATAGGCAACCTTCGGCACCCCAGATGATGTGGACTACATCCCCCATAATGCTGGCAAAGCATCATGGGAGGTGTAGTCCAAAACATTTGGAGTGCCAAATGTTGTCTATGCCTGACCTAGTGTTTCAGCTGAGAAATAAGGAGATAGAGAGACCTTATAATTACCATCCCTACTCAGCTCTCCTGGGGGCTCTTGTTCAATGTTGAGATTAATTCAAGGACAGAATTAGAGCCCAATGATTTTGTGACTGAATTTAAAATCTGGACATATCTGGACAAACATTGACACTCAAACTTCCAAACATGCATCTAATAACAATGTAGTTGTTTGCATTTGAGGACATAGTAGATGGTGGCTCCTCAGTAAGATCTTACAGCTATCGAGACATAAATGCTCCTTCTTGGCTCCACTGAATACTTATATGTAAAAGGCACTGTCTATTTACATGGAAAAGCCTTGTTTACCCTGTGTGCCTGCAGTAAGTTGAGATCTGCAATTCTCTTAATGGCCAATCTGGCACTTAGTGTAGGAAGAATCTAGTATAGGAAGGAATCCACACTGAAATATATATATTATATAAAATAATCTCAGAAAATTAATTGTATACAAGAGTATGGGAGTATGGTTAACCTATATTCATATAATTGATTGTAATGTACATTTTCCATCATCCAAGTTATACTTGCTTGGAATAAGAGAATCATTCTCCTTAAAGGACCACTATAGACTCCCAGACCACTTCAGCTTAATGAAGTGGTCTGGGTGCCAGGTCCAGCTAGGTTTAACCCTTTTTTGCTGTAAACATAGCAGTTTCAGAGAAACTGCTATGTTTATATTAGGGTTAATCCAGCCTCTAGTGGCTATCTCATTGACAGCCGCTAGAGGCGCTTCTGCGCTTCTCACTGTGAAAATTACAGTGAGAAGACGACAGCGTCCATAGGAAAGCATTGAGAATGCTTTCCTATGAACTGGCTGAATGTGTACGCGGCTCCTGCTGCGCATGCGCATTCAGCCGATGACGTCGTTATGGAGGAGGAGAGGAGTGTCAGGATTACTGTTTGATCCTGCACGTAGAACTGTACAGCACGGATGACAAATAAGTAACGTATTACCGATCCTTAGAATGGCCGGATTTAACGTACAAAGAATAGTCAAAAATACTAGCCGAGGTCAGGGAACACAGAAAGGGACACATCGATGAGGAAAGCCAGAAGTCAGGATACCAGAATATAGAGAAGTCAATAAACAAAGCCAAAGTCAAAAACCAGGTAGAAAACTATAAACAGGAACGCGCTCTCGGACAACCACAAGGGAAACCACGGCAGGGCACTGAGCAGGCTGAGAACTGTGCCTAAATACCCCTCCTTTAGTTCTGATAGGCTGTAACCGGCCTTTGACCCCAAAGTCAGTTACCAGGTTTCATTTGCAAAATTGCTGCTCAGCATTAACCCTTCTGTGGATTAGGTTGCTGCTCGGCACAACTTTTCCTGTGTGGACAGTAAGTGTCATTAACCACTTTTCTATAAGCGGATGAATACATGACACCAGGTTTCATTTGCACAATTACTGCTCAGCATTAAACCTTCTGTGGATTAGGTTGCTGCTCGGCACAACTTTTCCTGTGTGGACAGTAAATGTCATTAACCACATTTCTATAAGCGGATGAATACGTGACAAGGAGGAGGAGAACTCCCCGCCCAGCGCTGGAGAAATAGTTAAGTTTAACCACTTCCTCTCCCCAGAGCCCGGCGGGAGGGGGACCCTGAGGGGGTGGGGGCACCCTCAGGTCAAAGAGTGCCAGGAAAACGAGTATGTTTTCCTGGCACTATAGTGGTCCTTTAATGTTGGGATAATTGAGAGGCGACATTAACCATTTGTTTTTTAAAGGTTGGCCACCACTACTACATAGCAAAAGATGACATTTGTGATGCATTAACCTACTACAGATGTGGGTTAATGGCGAAAATAAATTGCTTTGCTACGTTTCAGTTTCATTCATTTTTTTAATTTCTGTTCGTCCGAAGGCCTTGATTTAAGAAGCTTTCCAAATGATTCAATACTGTTAGAAAAACTTTCTGAATATTTATCTACAGAAGTCACTGCTAAAGTCTGTGGTAATTTTTGCAGATAAATCATTTGGAAATGTTTTTAACAATATTGAATTATTTTGACAGGGTTTTAAACCGAGATTTGAAAATTATTGATTTGAAACTAAACTAAATTCGAAAAAAAAAATGGAAAAAAAAAAAAAAATTCAGACACATAATCCCTATTGGTTTTCTTATTGGTATCCTTGTAATGACAATCCCACATAAGTGAACTGATTTAGGGAGCTAGATACTAAGCTGCTCCCTATTGCTACCCTTAAATATGTCAATCCCACAAAAGGGTACAAAATTAGGGAGCCATCTACAAAACGGCTGAAAAACCTTTTTCTTTTTCAGTTGCTTAGTAGATTAGTCCCTAATTTGTTATCCCTGTGGAAACAAATGGATTTGAAAGAATTTGTTTTGATTAGTTCTGAATTAGTTCATTTTTGGTTGATTTCGGTTTGTAAAGAATTTGTAAATTTAGACTCTTACAAATTGTCGAATTTGGATGAATTTGCATGAAATAACAAAACATATTCCACAAGTCTAGAACCTACTTAAACCAGGAATGGCCAAACGTTAGATCCCCTGTACACATACAGGTACTTGGTATGTGTCCACTTTTGCTTTCTGAGCATGTACAGATGTGCCTATTATAAAGCATTTTTTCTGATATAGAGGGAGTGTGACTCACAACCTGTGGTTTGGTTTTGTTCTGGTTCAGCATCCTCTTAAATGGTTTTGCTCTGTAGTGTTGGTTCCCTAAATCTATTGCAGCAATACGATAAACATACAATATGGCAAACACAGAAGAGGAAAGGAAATTAAATAAGGTAAGATGTCGCAATCCACTCTATAGTTTCAAGGTGACGATAGACTTGTATGAGAGTTCAGTTTATAACAGTATATTCTTTGTTGTGGTCATGCATAAGGTAACAAACA